TTAAGAAAAACTCTGGTTGGTTTACTGATGATTACTGATTTATATAGACGAATATAAAAAGTTAATATGAATATTTTTATCACTGAACCAATTAACTAATATTATTAACTAAATTTTATTTCTTAGTCAGTCAAGAAATTATAGTAAATATTAAATATATTTTGAAATGTGTATTCTTTTTGTGTGTTCTTGTTAAACTATTTCATTTTTATTACTTACCTATCAATTTATTTCAAACTAATATTAAAGTTATTATTGGATATTATCTATATATTAAAAAGTTGTTATTTATTTTTAGCTATTTATACTTAAGTGTTGTGCTGTTTTCTATATATTTATATACTATATATATATTTATATATATTTTTTAAATAAACCTTGGTGCTTTAAAATGAATAAAATAATATTTTTTTAAAAAAATATTCATTTCTAAATGTTGTTGTTACTTGATGTTGTGTGTAAAAATTACCACAAATAATTTTTTCTTATCTTCATTACTTATTAATAAATTAATGAATTGGCAAAGTTTGTGTTTACAAAATTTAATTAAGAGATTTAAATTTTTTTAAAAATTTCCTTTAAGTGATTTCAATTTAAAATCATTTTTTTCAGTGTTGGGTGGCTCAGGGCGCAGGTAGAATGTTTTGTGTCGGCTGCAGTTGTGTGTAGGAAATTTAGAGGTGGTATTTAGCAAACAAAAAATACGAAGAGATGACAAAATTTATAAAATATATAAAATTTAACTTAACAACAACATATTAAATAAAATTTGTTTTCTTCTCTCTTCTCCTCTCTTCTAAAACATTCTGTGCAATTACAGACGTAGTACCGCTCAGTGTTGATGCTGTCGAAGATGTGTCAACTTCGTCTTGCCAGCGCAGCAGAAAACAGGCGATCTAAAGTGTAGTCCTCATCCTAAGAACTGCAACTGCAATGGATGCACAAATACACTGAAAACTGTAAAAAAAAACAAAAACAAAACAAACAAAATATATTAATAACAATTCAAGTAACACAATACTTTAATTACCGATACTAAAGTACCAAAGTTTATGTAAAAAGGATATAGTACACAATAGTTTCAAGCAGGAGCAAGAGACAGCAAATTAGTTGTAGTTTAAATAATTAAAAAAAATTATCTATAATTGTTAAATAATTTAATATTATTATTCCATGTAAATATTGCAATTTTATCTAATTATTGTTAACTTGAGGTGATCAATTGTAGTTTTAAAAGCGTGCCTAATGTAGCAGGAGCTTTAGTGATAAACAAACAGTTATATATACTATAGACTATATATAGAGAGATATATGATAAGTTGTATATAAGATTTAATATTTTTTCTTTTCACACACAAAAAAAATGTTACACAATTTCGGTGATTTTGTCCACTAAAAGACTAAAAGTATCAATTATTAGTAAATATTTATTTATTATGAAAATAATTGTATCTCAACAAAATATGAAGTATGTATCTTACATTTAAACTACGTCAAAATTATACGTTTAAGCTGCTTGAAGTTATGTTTTTATTTCTATAAATTTCTGGAGATTCCCATCAAACCGGAAGCAAAAGAGCGCGGTACTTAAAGTTTCTATAAAAGTAAGCATTTTTAAGAATTTATGTTAACATTTTCATTAATTATTTTTATGTATATTATTATGTATATAATAATTAAAGTAGATGTAGGCTAGTACTAAATGTGATTTTATGTTATTAAATTTGTTTACTTAGGGCTAGCTATGCACTCTTAACTTATCTTTAAGTGTTCGATTCTAGGCACAAAAGTGTCACTTAAATTTTAAATAAATGTCACTTTAGTGTCAAATTAGTATAGTAACATAATGTACTTAAACCATAATTTTACTTACATGGTTAACAGTTGCTTGATTAAATTATTATATACGAATCGTATGCTAAGCTTTGAATTATGTTAAACAGATAGTCATATAATGAGTGCTTACAGCAATTTTGCTCTCATTTTGGTCATGACCACAAGGCATATTACAGACAGAGTCATCTAACAATTGTCTATTTTCTGTCTTTGCTACTATTTTCAAGCGTGTTTTTGTGCCTAAACTATAATAATTAATTATAATTAATATTTTTTAATATATGTATAATAGTAAATATATATATAATATTTTTATATTATATTACATATATTATCTCCTAATAGGCGTAAATTCTGACATATACTTCTAAACAACACTGTTTTGACCAACGTGACGAAGCACAGAAAGCTTAGGCACCGGGACCAAATTTTTGGTTTATATTGCATACAGTAAGAATTTCTGAGTGTACGTGAACATGAGTCTCTGTATAACATGGCACCATATATTTACCATATACCATATATTTACTATATGGTATACCATATATTTACCATATATTAAATTAGTTTTAATTATTTGTTTAACGATTTCAATCAACTGTGGTATGATACTAATTTTAAAACAACAGAGAAGAAATTGCACTTAAACAATAAACACTTAAGAGTGGAAATGTAGTAAAAAGTCTTATGTATGTTGAACTTAAATGCAACTCTGTCTTTACAACTCATTTTAAGAGTAAACATCTTTCATTTTTAACAATGGGATTGTAATAAACGGATTTTGAAACCTATTCTCTTTAATCAAACTGTAGAATTTGAATGTGACAGTGCCATTTAAATGGTATCCAATATTTATTTAAATTTGGGATTATACTCCTTAGTACATGAATTATATTAGCAATAATAATATGACTCAATATAAATGTTTACAATTGTATCAATTAAATATATTTGACTTAATATTAACTAAGTAGTTTTCTACTTTAACTCTTGTCAAAACTGCTTGATGGTACACCTAAATAAATAATACGAATCTTTTAATACCAGGAAACGAGGAAACTTATTCCTAATACATATTTCCTTTAACTGGTAGTGTAAAAATTAAATTTTTAAAAGTGTTCCAAAAATTATCAATTTAAGTTAGCTTTAATTTTTAACGTAGTCACACTAATGTCCTTTTCATCTCTTGCAAGCTTTGGCCAAGACGAGTGCTTTAAAATTATATTTACACGCCAATAATATTATCCCTGACGCGTCGCTACTTATATTGCAATTTTAAAATTTTTTTATTACATTCTCTAAGTTACTTTTATAGCCAATCTCTATCAGTATAACCAATTTCGTGTCAAAGGCACTAAAATGGCAAAATGGCAAAGCGAAAAAAAAAGGATGAACGAGGTGTATGGACTGTCACCACATAACGTTGAATCCTGGTCATAAAAAATTTTACCTTATATTAACTTCTCGATTGTCGGTTAAGGTTTAAAAACCGTAAATGGAAATGAGAATGAGAATGGAAATGTGCAGATTTTTATCTACTATAAATTTGAAAATGAAGCTTTTTATGAAAGTAAAACTCGTGCTTCAAATCAGCATAAAAGCAAATATTAAAATATATTCTGGCATGTATTAAATTTTGTAAGAACTCATAAAATATACTGAAAATATTTTTTTAATGTAAATATGGCGTTTTACTTATAATTTTATCCACTCCATACCGACACCCAGAATTAGCATACTTCAATATATCCGTTTGCCGCAATATAAACTCTAACCAGCGCCTTTTCAATTTTCGTTTCAAAAAGTCAAAAGTTTATCCTTTTCAATATTAATTAACACTTCACTTACACAAGGCAAAAGTTTTGCTTCACTTTCCTACACCTTGTAATATATACAAAAAATAAATATACATATATACATATTTTAATATTTATATATATATATATATATATATGTATAATGTACTTTTGGTTTTCCTGTAAGAGAAAAGTTCGAAATTTCTGCACCCATTGTTCACAGATAACAAGCAAAGCAACAATACAGCTAAAACGCCTAAAAGCAGTCAATGAAAAAAGTATATACAAATAAATAAGAGAAAAGAAAGTACTAATTTCTGACACTAATTAACAATTAGCATAAGTTGAGGCAACCGGCCTGACAGGCTGATTGGATGTCAGGCAGACATACTCAAATGTTTGTCTTTAGTGCCGAAGTACGCGAACCCAAAGACAAAGAACTTCTATGCCTAAACAGCAGCAATGCCAAATAATTTACCACTTTGCTTAGAACTCAACCCTGGTAGTCAACTTCAATGTCACTTGCAATGTTGTCAGGTTTTCAATTTGAGCTCATTTCGAATATTTGGCATACCTACACACGAACGCAAATCGGTAAAAATAAGTTAAAGTGACTACAAAGGCATATATACTCGTAGCGCAGGACGCGTGTTCAGATACATTTGAGTACGACTGACACGCTGACAAATTTCCAGCAAGAATAAAAAATGTGAGACCCAAAGGATTTCTCATAATAACAACAATAATATAAAATAGTGTGGAGCGCACCGTTCGCCCTGCAGCGAACTCTGAAGACTCTGGAAAACTGAAGACTCAGTCACTCAGTCACTCGATGGAGACAATGAAATATCACAACTCATATATCTGCGTTGGGGAAAGTGTGGGTAAAATGGCATGAACTTTTGACAATTGTCTTAAAGTGCCGCAATTGTTGCAACACTTCTGGGAGTAATAAGAAAATGAAGCTTATTCATGGAAATGATAAAAATAGATATAAAATAAATGCCAAATATACAAATGTTTTGTTCGTTTGCTCGCAGGACGAATGCAAAGTTGAGTGCGAGCACAAGTATAAATGTAAAGTGTCAAGTATGCAAAAGAAATACTTTGTTCCACAACTGAAAAGGGTAAAGTTATTCAAGTATTCATGGAAGACTTCTCGTAGTAGAAGAAAATTAGTGTAATATTTCTACACTCTAACAAAAGTATTTCTAAATTAAAATGACGAAGAAAATACATTAAATAGCACTGTAAACTGAAGTAATAGAAATTTACTTAATATTGTCTGAAATACCAAGCATTTTTGGACTCATTCCCAGTGAGTGGGATTGTAATAGTAATAGTTCTGCATAAGATACTCTTATACGAATAACGTCACCTGCACATACTGAGCCATAAATATTAACGCAAGTACTTAAAGTATTTCAGTAAATGTCATAAAAGTCACAATAAATGTCAAATACAGTCTTAGGCCATACTGAATAGTATTTCTAATTAATTTTTAATTACTGAAATTAGTATTCAAAATTGTCATTTCGGTTATTTTAATTTTATAGAAATAGAAATGTATTTATTCTATTTTTACTTGAATGCCGGCAAACCGCAATGTAAAGCCTCAACTTCAATTAATCAACCACAAAATAACATTTCTTATTAAATTTTCAAGCATTTTGTCTCCTTTTTTGTTATTTGTTATTATTTCTCGGGCGTTAAATATGTCGGAAATTTTCTTGCCTCAAGTGCAACTGCAGATGTTGTGCCACTTACGCAAACTCTCAGGACGTGTGTACTTTGACAAAAGTAAATAAGCTTCCAATTTTATGAAGACAAATATAATCACATATAGCTACACACATACACACATCAGTATATTTATGTATATGTGTGTGTATAAGTTTTTGTAAAATAATTGTGTTTTTAATTATTAAAAGATACAAACAATAGCACATATAAGTGAAGCAGCTGCCACCTGACCTCCACCTCCATCTTGCGCCTAATTGTATGCACACAATTTCACCGTTTACAATATAAAATAATTTCATTAAATTTAAAATAGAAATTTCGTCTGATTTCCATTGTGCAGCAGCTGTAATCACTTCGAAAATTAATGAAAATTCTGAATTTCTGAATTTCTGGATTTCTGAATTGAATTTCTGTGCAAACTGCATGTCACCGAAGAAGAAGACAGGTATTTTGTGTGATATTTATTGTATTATATTCGGCTAGGTGTGCTTATTTATGCCTTTTGGTTGTCATTTATGTGGTTGCCTTGGTTATTTTGGTTATACTGGTTTTACTAAATCATAATAATCTTATTAATTAGTATTAGATATTGTCAGGCATTGATATGTTTGCAAAAAGGCATCAATGCGGTTAGGTCGCACAATGACTTTTGTTAATGAATGAATATTTATGAACCCAGAAACAAAATATTTCATCTTAATTAAGTTATACTTGATAAGCTTATACAAAGATATTAAGTTATTAATTTGTGAAATAGCAAAGGGCTTTGTACATTCGCACAAATTAATATAAATGTTAAATACATTGTTTTTCACAAGTATCTACACGTATAACAAACTAACTACTAAACTAACAAACTTTAACCACAAATTATAATTTATGTCCATCTTTTGACTTTAATTTTAAGTTTAATATGATAACCGGAAACAATGAAGATACTTAAATTTATTCAAAAATATTTAATACTTAATTTAATACTTTTGGAAGTATTTGAAAGAAAAATATAATATATAATTTTAATCACATTTTAAAATTATTGTAAATATTTACTTTAACTTATATTTAAATGTCAAAATTGAACAAAATTTATACCAATGTACTGCTTTAAATAAAGGTCACTGCGATGACCTGTAACGTCATTGCAAGTCTCTCACTGCAAGTTTAAAAATTAGTTCCCTTATACTTAAATGGTAGAGTCGCATCATCTCAGAGAAATACTATTCGTATAT